TGTAGATCTGTATTGAGGGGAGCGGCACCTTTTGCCCGTGAGCTTCTCTGGTGGTTCCCGCTGCCTTTTGATAATCGTACAGTATCTGCATAGCTCTCTGTTCGGATACCTTCCACATCACCAACTAAAGTGCCTCTGGACTTGTAAGTGCACTCAGTTGAATGGGTTGTGCCACAAGAACGGTTTTTTCCACGGCATGAAGCACAGCAACGACTGATCCATTTCGACATGGATACAACCGGGGTAGGAGCACAGCTATGCTCCTGACCTGCCCCGATGGTGGTGACTTTCACAATATCGGGCCACGGGCCTGTGAAAACTGCAAAGGACTTGTGGAGGTCAACCCCCTGCTCCACTCCACCTTTGTCCACTGCGTGGCTCTGAATTGTGCATGACTTCGGCCGCGACTGACGAAGCAACTGAGGAAGAGGACATGGCAGTGGAACCCAACTGCGCCTTTGCCAAGGGATAAGGACGTTTCGGCATGGGCTATACCAGGCTGGCAACGGCGCTCCGCAATTTTGAGCAAGGGAACATCCAAGCAGAGTGCAGTAGTCGCTTAGTGGCTGACCTCCGGGCTGAGGGTTGCCATGTCCCGCACAGATCTGCTGTCTCCCCGCTATACGCTGACCAAAATTCCCAGCACTCTCTTCAGTAACTACTGCTGTCATGGACATCCCCTCAGTCCTAAAATGGAAGATCGCCCGTGTGACCACGTTGGGAGGCAGCTCGCAGGCCACAAGCAGGCACTTAGGGACCAAATGGGCTGCAGTCAGGAAGACTCCGATCCGCGTAATAAAGCTCGCCGTACGTCCCTCCTCCAGGAGAGGGAAGCTCCTCGTTGCAGCAGGGTCTTCCTGTCATATCAGGCCTCCCCCACTGCCTCCACCTCATAGGTGGTGGCAGCAGGAGAGACTTGGCCCGTCCGCACTCGTGGAAAAAAAAAACGAGCAGAAGCAACAAATTATTCCAGTCGAAATGGAACTAGTGAATGGTGGTGCTGCCAGCCGAACAAGTGGACTGGCAAACAGAGCTGCTCAATGCCTGCTCCACAGAATGCGCCTTCAGGCAGCGCTCGAGGTTTATTGGTGTGGTCCATGACAAAGGTGATGGATGCAAGTGTGAAACAACTCTCAAATGCATATCTGCCTACACTGTGCCCCTGGTGCAAGGACATTAGTGTCATCCGTTTCGTGACTGACACCAACTCGACCAAGGGAGCAGCACTCCGCAAATACTCTTCGGCTGTACTGGACACATCCCGGGGCGGCCACTTCTCGCAGCACGCAGCACGCCTGGAAGGTCCCATCTTCAAGACTCATGACAGAGGGTGGGAGCTTGACAATTTGCAGTTGCTGACAACTCTGCCAGGCCACGATTCCTACATGTTGAATGCCCATTGCCACATCCACGCGCCGGAGCACGGGTGCAGCATAGAAGGCTCTGCCTGCCAGATGGAGTGTCCACCATGCCGTTGCAGGAGCACGTGTGGAATGCTTCTGGCAGAGATCGCTGCGTGTGAAGGTCGAGCAGGTCCAGCTCACAGCCAAAGACATCCAAATCAGAGACTGTTGGCAGAAAGCAGAGAATGTCATCTTCCAGCTCTGCCACGTTCTCATGAAAGAGTGCAAGTTACTAGGAGGTGGTAACTGTGTGGATACTCCTTCTGGAGACCGCCACTTCTTGGAGCGCAACACAATTAAGGAAAACTTCTTTGCCAATTTGCCTTAGTGCCAGCTTCTGGTGGTTCAGCAGTCCCCACTGGCAAATGCAAGAGTCACACAACTGCCAAGTCACACCAGGCCTCCACTGCGCGAGCTAGGAAAGGTAGAGGGAGGCTGGACCCGGGACCTTCGGCGAAGTGGAGCTTAAGCCCCCCCCGCGAGGGTTTTCAGTGGCTTTTAGAGACCAGCTGACTGATTTGGAGACAATGTGCAGCAGCCAAGAGGACCACGACGCGTGCAAAAATCTTGTCCATTGACGGCCCCAAAACCAAGCGCCAAAAACGCAATGGATTGCAGGGTCCCCAAAGTGGGCTTCCCTAACATGCATGTACGCTTACTTTCAAGAGAGAGTCTCCATTCTTGTGTTTCTGCTGGTTGGTTTTGCTTTGGTGGGTTGGTTTTGTTTCGTGAAAAACAGGCGGAGCACAAAGAGCAGTTGAAGTCCCTTCTAATGGCATCGATCGAGTTTTGCTGCAGGCATTTTCGCACGTCGCAGATGTCAGGCATGTGCAAGTCGAAGCAGGTGTGCACACCATAGAAGGCTGCCTGGCAAAGGTGTGTTTCGAAGAAGTTTGAATTCCGATGCATCAATGTGAAGATGTGCAGATGTGAAGATGTGCAGGTGAGCAGAGATGTGGATGTGCAGATGCGAAGATGAACAAAGATGTGGATGTGCAGATGTGAAGATCTGAAAAAAACAGAGATGTAGATGTGCAGATGAAGATGAGCAGAGCCGCAGATGTGCAAATGTCGATGTGCAGATGTCAAGATGCATGAGACGTGGTTCTACAGATGCTTTTTGCGAAAAACTCTTCGCAAACGCTTTCCGGAAAAACATTGAAACCTTGAGCTTGGAGAAACCAAGAAAGGACAGATTTGAAACTTTGAGTTTCTGGAGGCCTGCAGAGCGCAAACGTTGGCGTCAACCTCTTGCTGTTTCAACAACCACGAAACAACAGCCGTCGAGGACCAATAAATTTTCGCTTTGTTGCGGACGATGTTAGAAGGTCCTTCATTCATGTTTTGGAAGTTGTTTGTGGCCCAAGAGTCTGTGATTTGTAGCCTGTCAGGAGTGTTACCATGTTGTGTGCATCATCTTCACATCTGCAAATTTGCATCTTTACATCTTCACATCTGCACATCTTACACCTACATCCTGTCGCTCTTCTTTTCTTTCTTTCAGGAGCGGGGCTGCCGGAGCACCACGAAACGCATCCGACTGGCGCATGTTCGTCACGTAGAAACTTGTAGAGTCTTGCACGAAACGCCAGACCTTCACACGGTTCTTGAACAACAAACTTGAAGCGTCCGGACAACCTTGTTTGGACTCTCTCTTCTCCAAACGGGCACCTGTCCGTGGAACATTGCCCCATGCTCCCAGTGGAATGGTCGTGCCATCTTGCAAGAACTGCTAGCAGCTGGGTGCACATGGCACGTTCGGTCTCAGGGCGCAAGGTCGACTCGGCGGATGTCCAAAAGCAACAAACAAACATGCACGCAAAAGCACCCAGCAGATCTGGTACTGTTCGCAGACACCAGCCAGTTGAACTGTCAAGTTCTCTGCAACAGTTCCTGGCACACCGTTCTGTGCAGGCAAAAACACCATCGGAAACATTCTCCAAACATGGCAAGGCATTGAAGTTGTCCTCAATGGAGGGTCACATGCGCTCTTCATTCGCTCCTTCAGTGCCGTCATTTCAACTTCCACAAGTGGAACTGTGCAAGGAGACCAAAAAAGTTCAGAAAATTGAGTGCAGTGATGTGCTCTGTGTGTGTTGTTCTCTGTCGATCAGATCGTTCGAGCAGGTGGTCAGCTGGTGCCGCTGAGCCCTTCTCTTGGATTGATGTTCTGTTTGCTGATGATGAGTGGAGATCAATTCCAACCTGTGATGTGAGGGTATTCGAAGTTTCGTACTTGGCAGGCGCGTGGGTCATCATAGCCTGCTTTGTGTGGACTTCGTGCCATGATCAACATTTGGAATGTTGTTGATCGTCGGAACTGGCGCGCAACTCGATCACGCCCACAAAGACCATCTTGCAAAGATTGTCTTCTGTGGGGATGGCTTTGGCTTAGGCTTCCTGTTTTTTCCGTGGTGCAAAACTTTTTGCTGCAATTCCCAAATTTTTCCAGGTGTCAGAACAGGCCGAAGTACGGCAGATGGACTTGGATTTGGAGCTTCGTGGGCCCTTTGCCATCATTTTGCTGGAACTTTTGCAACTGTGGCAATTAATTGTTGATGGTTCAAGGTGCATTGTGCGGTGCAGCCCCAGAACCCCGTGGTTGGGCTCTGAACTGCCTGGCATCCTTGCAGTTTCCTGCTAGATCTGCAAATTTTTTTCTCGAATGCTTTTACTTTTCACTATTTTAACTTTTGTCTCTTCTTTCGTGAGGCCAAGGACAAAAAGGAACCGTAGAACTTTGGTCGGCGATGATTCTTGGGGCATCGACCAGGCTTGTAGCACAGTGCGTCGGAGTTCTCACCCTTGAATGTCAGTTGACAGCTGATGCTTTGCCAGCCCACTGGGCATTGGAAGAATTGTTTCGCACCAACAAACTCGAGTTGCGGAGTGAATCTTTGAACCCTCTTTGAGGAAATCATTTCCGAGCTAAGAGCAGGCCGAAGAAGGCTTCAGAAAAGCATTGGGGCGAGATTAGAAGGGTTCTGAGCCAAGTGAAGTTCAGGGAATTGTTTCAGTTTTTCACTGCTTGATACGCCCACCTCCTCAATTGTGGGGTGTGTGTGTGTGTCCCCAACACAGATGATTGTCTTGACTTTCTTTTGCCCAGTCCCTATCAGCCTCTGGCTGGAAAAATGTCTTCGGTTCATGCTTGAATTTTTTGGTTTGTAGTACAAGCGCTAGTAGATTTTCAACAAGGTTCGTCAATCGCGATCACGTTACGTTGTTGCAGTTAATGGCATTGACCATAAACTCAAAGCGGTTCGCCGAAAAACGTTGGTTCTGCATGATGTATTTTGGATGGGTGTTGCAACATACCAAGGACATGTTGAAGCTTCTTTTGGTCTTCATTGCAACACAAATTAACGCTGGTTTGTTTTCTACTTTTTGCTCCAAGCGCCCAACTAGATACGCATGTTGAGACATTACCACAAACCGAAGCCACATGTTTCGTTGCAGGACCATCTGTTTTCACAATTTTTTTTTTCCAAGTTTTTTTGCTGGATTCATGACTCATCCCACTGTTGCAACAATCGTTGCCGAAACAAGTCACAAAAACTTGACCAAACTTGAAACCAAGTGACCACAGTTCACAATCCAACGGTTTGCTATTGACCATCGTTGGAATGCCATGGGCAGTGAAGAAGAGCTGGGTCTATTGGCCGAGTTTGGTGATGAAGGCAGGTGCACAGGGCCGAACTTCAACTCGGACTGAACTCTGGCCTTACCAAGGCGTGCCATGTTTCGATGAGGAAGCACGACATCGCAATCGCCCCAAGCTGAAAGCTGAGGGACCTGGGACTAGGCGCGCCGGCGTTGGTGTCGTTTTCTTTTTGTGATTGGCATTGGTACGCAGGCCACTCATTTTGCACGATGCAGGAGATGAGGACAGGTGCAGTTGGCACTTTATGATGCCAGTTGTGCAGTAGGTGATCTCACTGAGAACTGTTTTGCAACAAGTGCAAATCAACTGAACAGTGCAAACTCGAAGCTGCGAACAGAAGGACAGAGCCTCTGCTGGTTTGCATATATTTTGGCATCGCGCTGGCTGGCTGGTGCTGCTGCTCCTTTGCCAGTCCAGCTCTTCTTTTATACTTCAAAGCCACTGGGCAGCCACGTGCTTTCATTTATATACAGTTATTTGTGACCCATGCTAGCTTTTGTGACAGTTGCATCTGAGGATTCGAGATTCTTGGTCTGTGCAAATGATTTGATTCCTTTTTTGTCACAGGCTTTTTGTACTTGCTCGAAGTCACCAGCAGATAGTTTAATCTATTTTGGGCAATATGGTGAATTCAGTGAATGATACAAGATACGTGTGACAGTGAAATCCTTCAAACTTACCATCGCGGTGGGCATTTCATTGCTCCGCTCTACATATTTGTAATTTTAATTTTGTATAGATAGCTTGGGATAGGCACTAAAACCATTTTCCAGAATGATTCCGGCAACGAGGTTTCTTATCAAATCACATCCTACTGTGATCTATTTCTTGACTATGTTGGTGGGCGCTGGTGGAAATGCTGGTGGTCAAAGTACCGTCTTGGTGGTGAGACGGCTGGCGCTGGCCGCTTGTCATCGATCTGAAGGGACGACTGTCATCTCTTTTCGACGGATTATTGCACCGGAGATTCTGGTGGGTGCGAAACTGGCAGTGGTGCTCTTTGGCGCTGCATTCTTGCGCTGCATTATCTTCAAGGCCGGCCAGGCGATTAGGCCCACTAAGTCACTACACAGTCAATGAGTAACGTGACTTGTATGATCCTCTTGAGGTCTACGGAGCAGAATGTGTGGCGATTTGTTTGTCGATGTTGCTGTGCTTCATTGAGTCAGCTTCAATGTAATTTATCGGTGTATTTTCACTAGTCAAGAGAGGATCCTTGATAGTTGTGAAGTGCCAAGTGCTGATTTGATGTCTTTGGATGCAACCAAGGCTTGTGATTGTGTTCACCTCCACTGCCCTGGGAGCTGCTTTGCCTTTGTTCCTGAGTCAGATGGGTGTGGATCCAGCCCATGCGGGTGCTACAATCCAAGTGCCCTTTGGCTGAAAGTATTGAAGCTCGCTTCTTAATGACTGTTAATGAGCCGCCTATTGCCTATACTTGCTATTGCCAATGCTTGTACAATTGCTTGCTTCTCCCGAGCCATCTCGGCTCTGGGAGGCTGATGGACGTGAGTGGAGTGGCCCTCACTTGTGCACCTTGGCAGCATTCTTCGCACGGAGAGCCTCTGCACGGCACGGATCCACACGGCGCAGGTCATCTCTAGCACCGTTCTGGGATTTCAGGACGGCGCCGGTGGGTTTGGCTCGGGGACCGGGAGAAGGCCATAGGCGGCCATGGGCCGTACCAGGGTGTCACAAGCGCCCGAACGCACAGGAAGTCACCTTGCCCGACAAGTCCACCTCCCTCTCTACCAGCATGCACGGTTCGCTGGAGGCGGAGCTGTTGTTGTTCCTGAAATTGTAGAGTGGGCTGCTCCAGAGACAAGTAGATCAGATGCAGAGGTGCAAGTCCAAACTTCTGTCAGTCTGACCAATGTCCTTCGAGGCACTTTGTCGCGTCGTGCCTCGAAGTGATTCATGTTTTCGTTGCCGAAGCCTTCAGGTGGTGGTTCGGCATTCGAGCTCCTTGGGAACGGTTGAAGCGACCAGTGCCCCACCCGGATAAAGTGGTGGACATCGCACAAAGAGGCGATTTTGATTGCAAGTCTTGAGACCCCAATTTAAAGATTTATTGTTGTAGATTCTGTATCACTCAGATACTCTATCTTGATCCGCAAGTCCCAATAAGGTGAGCTTGCCATTCCGACTCAGCCATGTGTGCACTGCAGAAATATGCTTGTGCCTTCGTGTATTGATCTGCAACTGGGGTTGCAAATTATATTTGGCAACTGTTGGGTTTGGCCATGCTATCTGACGCTGGAGTTTTATTGGTCGCATACCACCCATTTCTATTGAAACAGCCAGTAAAAAACACGCCAGTCAGACTCAGGACGTGAACATACGACGCAGCCCTGGTGCACAGTACACATACAGCTGAGCAGACGCAGATTGAACAACTGTCACGGGCGCTTGACATTTCCAGCATGGAGATTGGTGTGGAAGGTGCATTCAGCGAAGCTTCGCTTTGCTTGGGAGCATTGAGCCCAGACAGTGACCTCTGGAACTGCCGGAGATTGAGAGAGTCTGCCCTCGTTGACCCAAAACTCTTTCTGCCAGGGAAGACTGGTCTGCCCCTCAACCTCGAGGTTCTGCCTTTTTTGGTTGACCCGCCTTTAGCGGCTAGCGACTGGATGCGGCGTGAACTGAAGAATCGATCATCCATGATTCATTTTGCCTGGCAATTCATGACCGCTGTCTGCTAGGCGTTACTGACGAAAGTGTATGAAGGCGTTTCAGGCAGATGCAGTGCATGTTCGCTACATGCTGAGGTGGAAGCACCTCGGACTACACCGAGGTCGGCAGCACCCGAGATTTGGAGCGTTCGTAGCGTCCGAGATTTGCTCCCAGTAGTAAGACCAGGAGCCCCTAGTAGCGTCCTTTTTGGTTTAGTTTGGATAAATATGGTCGTATGTACAAATGATCCTTTGGCTGACCAGTACGTCGTGGTGGCTGCCGAAAGTTTTTGGGTGTGTCAAACTACGGGTCACTCGCCAATTTGTAGTGGATGGAGGAATGTGCCTGACCATTCTTAAAGTCATTCTCCATCCAGTCCGCCAGTGAACTCTTCAAGCAGGTCTTTGTTTGCATGTGTTGCAGGGTCAGAGCCCGCTTTTGGCTGCGATCAAACGTGAAGTCGAGGCCTGCGATTGATGTGAGAACTTGAGTTGGGAAGACTGGGTCGAAAGAAAAAGGACTGCTTTGAGAAGTCTCTGATCCGTGAAGTTGTCCTGTCGATGCCCCCAGGGATTGGAGCATCGGCTTCTTTCGCGAGCTGCTCCCTTGCACCTAGACGAGCTGTCGAAACCGAGCTCGAGACGAGCTCGTTGGACACTCGAGTAGTGGCATATACAACTGAGATCTCTCGCTTGGAGCAGCAACACCTGAACTTCGAAGCGGTGCGGATCTTACGGCCTTGCGGATCTTGCGGATCTTTTGCTGAGAAGGCGGCAAGGAACTTTTGAGAAAGCGGGAGGTACTGAAATCATTGTGTTTTCTGTCACCCTTCTCGTCATGGTGTCGCAAGCGAGGTGCTGGAAAATGTGGCCCGCTCCGACTCGAAGTTGCAAGATGTCACAGACTTACGGATTTGGCATGAGAGTTTCGCCCAGAGCTTTCGAGTTCTTGAGTGTCTTGAGTCTTGAGTCTTTTTGGACTTATATAGATGGAAACATGGTCAAGAGCTGTTCTGACTGAGAGACTCTCAGGTTGAGGGGCGCCAACGTGAGTCGAGAGCTCGGTGCACGTGTCCAAATCCCGTCCGCAAGCTTCACCGGCTCTCGCTCCACTCATAGGTCAGAGGTGATGCTGGCTCAGCTCTCCGGCCTTGTGTACCAACCCAAGACACCAAGTTTGAGAGGCGCTGTCTGTCTCTGTCTCTGTCTCTGTCTCTGTCTCTGTCTCTGTCTCTGTCTCTGTCTCTGTCTCT